GTGATACGATGCAACTCGCTAATTTATCTCCAACAGCCATGGCATGTACATACATGCCACCCAGTGGCATGGAGTTAATATCATTACAAAATCCAAGAAATACATGTCGAGCATTGGATATTGAAAAAAAGTACACTATAAAAAAATCAGTCTTGGGGGAGGAGAACATTGCTGAGAAACCAGCAACAAGGGAAGCTGACAGCATGGTAAGTAGGTTGTCAGAGATAGGGGAAATATGTCAGCATGAGAAGTATGATGCTGCTACTAGAGATTCATTGGATTAAAGTCTAGCTTAGTAATTTTTTTTGATAAGCAGTTCTTCTTTGGCATTCTAAGATGCCTGGTGCAGTTGCTCATGTAGCATCTTTAGATGCATGGCATCATTATTTACTAACAATGATAATTGCAATAAAAATAAAATAAAGGAAAAGAGTTAACTGGTGAGATCAGGCTGGAACAATAATTTACTTCTCAGTGTCTAAGCATCTGTGGAGCTATCTATGGGTAAACATGGCATGTTTGTTCATACCATCCTTTTGTCTAGTGATTAAGTTGAACTCGGCGTCAAAAGAGGTTTGCTGATCTCTATTTTTCTTTCTATTTCCACCTCCCCCCTGCCTTCTACACACACAATAAGGTATTGGTTCATTACCTAAAGTAAAAGACAACTCTTTTTTTTTGGTTTGATAACAAAATTCATAAAGTATAAATAAATGCTGATAGCATTTGCATATAAAATGAATAGGCTATTCTTTAATTTTCAAGATATGACTGATTTTTTTATTTCTACGGTAGTATGAACTAAAACTCCTCAAAGATTGGTTCTATAAAATTTCATTCATGTAGGTTACTCAACCATTACCCCCCCCCATCATACACACTCATCCAACCAAAGCAATACAAATTTAAATGATAAGATACATTTTCAAGCCATTGCACGACTGCACTCCTATCTAGGAGTTGTGTATATTTTTATTTTACTATTACTGCAGTGTTTGAACAGCTAGAGCCCCATGCACCTGACTGCATGTGGCACCCAGCAAATGGTCCAGTTTGGCTCATGAAGCTCCTGTCAGCATTGGGTTTAATCAGTTTTGTCAGACAATACATACTTTTTAAAATACTGATTTACCATAAATATGCTTAATCATAGGTACTGCATGGTTCCCTATAACCCACCCAAACAGGGTTAAAATTTGGATTTATCAAAAATATGCCAGTCTCTGAGGATTGCATAACTACTTCTTGCCTATCCATTGACAGCTTAATCACTTTGTTTCCTTTTGTAAATGACAGGCCACTTATGAACAATGTACTGTCCTGTCCATAAATGAAGCCAATTTATGCCCATCCAATTCCCTCCATAAGAATTTTTACTCTGAAAAAATACCCTTCTTAGTCTATAAGCATTATGACAAACCTCCCCATATGCAAGGTTACAAGATTTTTCTTCCAGATATAATGGATTCACCTCTCATCAGTGAATTTTCCATTCAATTTTGATGTGGTCTCCCATCCCCTTCATCTTGCAAACCAAGTTGAAAACTGAAAACTGATGTTTGGTGGACAGTTATATGCAAAAACACATGAATACTGCATATCAGTAACTTGACTCAGTACAGCAATTCATCCCTTAACCCACTAAAGACGGGTGTCCCACATATTAGACACCCTAAAAATTAAACATTGCCGGGCGTCCTGCCAGTGTGACACTGTATCGGGGCTCGCGCTCTGACGCAGCAGCGGGCCACAGCGGGCGGGCGGGCGGAGTCTGGGGCAGCCCCACCCGTCGAATAGTAGCCACATGGAATCTTTTATTTTCAGCTTCAAAATATACCAGTGTCAATGGGTTAATAACAGTTAAAATATGAAGTAGTTTGGATTAGCACTAAAACAAATATTATATGTCCCTACAAGTATCTAAATGAGCAATGCAGACACATACACAAAAAAGGGTTAAAAATCATATTCTAAAATCCAAGAGAATTTACAGATCTAAATACAGCCAATACATTTTTACTAGGAAATCTCCTAATTCTTGCCTCCTACTTCCATTACTTTTGCTCATGATAATTATTTTTCTTTTTGCACTTTACTGCTCCCTGTAGGAAGGATAACAACAGCAATAACAATATCAACACAGTCCTTGATCTGGCAGGATGTCAAACTTGTGCCCTAAGTGATCCCGTCATCTTCATCTTGCCTGCCAATTCAGCTGGTAACTACCGCAGTAAGCAAGTGACCTCCACCTCCACTGACTCACCTTCATGCCCTTTATACTGAGGTCTTTGGAAGTGGAAGTGGGAGCAGTATGCTGGTTGACGGTGGCACTTTGCTGACTGCTCTCCTTCTGTACTCTAGCACAGCCAGTTCCCCCACTGTTGGTGGTGGCTGGGCTGATGGCTGGGAGGGTGTCTGAATTGGCACCCCCACTGCCAGCACTGCAGCACCCACCCCCACCGTGGTCTTCCCCGGTCGAGCACCCACCTGCACTGCCCAGCTGGAACAGCAGAACTCAATACTAACTGGCACATTATGATGATAATGGCCTTGCATTCCCATGCCAATGAAAAACTACGAGTAGAATCAATTCCATTCACTAAAGATGTTGTGCTTGTCTCTCATACAAACTTTCTTTGTATATAATCCATGTGAAGATATGCTCTACAAGTAGATTTAATGATTCCTTGTATTCTTCAATACATCAGATTTAACACAAATAACTTTACTCATTTTCATTATTCATTATGTCTGAGGAAGAAAGGGAACACTATCAGTGTTCCAATCAGCCATTTTTTGTTTTAGTGCTTAAAGCTTTAACAGAATAGAAGTATTCCCTATCAAGAACAGCACACATCTTCAGTAAATTATGCTCAACACATATATTCAAAATTCATAATGCTCTGCCAGAATCTAAGATGTTACACTTAAAGCACTGGACTTTTCAATGGGCAGACCCATGCACCTCTAGCAAATAAATGTGAGAAGTAGATATAAACAGTTCCAAGAACCCTAATTACTTTCAATGTGAAAAATGCTGAGTGTCAACTTTTGCTCCAGTTGTCTCCAGCCAATTTTCCTTTTTTAAATCAAACAAATTTTAATATCCTTGGTTCTTTTACATATATCAGATTATACTATATGAAACAATTAACATATTATTTGTCCTCTTTCCACTAATCTCCCTTTTGTCATATAATGTTTTCCAATGATGAAAACTAAGGTCTTCACAGGCTTGAGATTTCAGATATTCAGGAACTGCGACACCAGGCAAAAATTCCCTTTACTTCTGTTGGACCTGAAAATCTCTTCTATGTAATCTCTATCATAGAAACTACCTATATATACATATAAACTTGTACAGATACAGGTGCAAACAAACAACCATGCAAATACAAACTATACATAATTACCATTCTATCTATCCATTCATTCATTCATCCATCCATCCAGCCTTCTATCCTTCCCTCCATTCGTCCATCCCTCCATCCGTCCATCCATTTACATATATATTTATAAATCATTAGCCATCACTAGCAAGTGACTGGACAACATTCCTATTCTCATCACTGGAAAAGTAATACAGGCTCTTGACAATACGTGCAAGTGTGAGAGTGTTATCAGTGAAGGATTACTACCTGGGAGTGCAACCAATGGCTGACAGACATAAGATACCCCTAACAATCTCTAAGCACAATGTGACAGGACCTTCAAGAGAGTGTAAAGAGAAAGAACTTGGCATATGCTTTGAAACTAGGAAACATATTCTCAGCCTGAAAGATAAGACTCCCAGCCTTCTTGAATGATCTTGAGGATGGAAGTTCTTATACCTCTTATTTCTTGTTTTAACCTTCAATTCATTTTATTATTTCATATACTTGATAAATTCTGCACTTTCTTGTTTTATGCTCTAAACTGAAACACTATTTTTCCCCCCATTAATTACTGTAATATTGCTAAGGATATCTGAACTGAGTTCAATGCAACAAAAGCAGAGAAAAATATATGCATAAGAATTAATAACTTTAAAGCACAAGAGACATAGCTGATTGAGTTCAGTAACATAATCAGAAAAACATTTGTTAGTGTGCTTTTAAACATACTCATATACCAGATGTGAGGTTAAGATTCACCTGACATCCATGACCTCTTACTTGTTACTAACATAATAGTTGTTGTGCATCCCCAGTTATGTTTGAAGTTAACCATCTCTGTGTTCCTATTACCCTCCATTACAACAGATGGAGCTTCTATTAATTTAGGTTTAAATATTTTATGGATAATTTTTACACACTTCTAGTCTGATAGATGTTTGCCTACATGTACATGCACCACCATGGCATTGTAAGTTGTGTTGACAGCTTCAGCTGGAAGCTCATTGACCCGAGTACTGAAGCCATATCCCATTTCACCAAGTATAAGCTTAATCACACTTGTTGCAGCATATCCAGCACACGGCACTGTTTGAAATATTTGTGGGTGGTTTCATATCTCACACCAAATCTTTAATCTTTACACCAGAGACATTGGTACAATTTTAACAAAACATCTGCAAGGCATCTTAAAGATGTTACATTCTGGTCCCATGAGGAATTTAGGTACAGAGTAAGAGCTTCTCTTGAGAGGGGGTAATGAGGTCAAGGTGAATCTTCAGCCTATGTCTGATATGTAATTGTGTTTTGTTATCTTTCTGACATGCATTTTCTTTATTACCATATACTCAAAACATATTATTCATTCTCATCTATATCTTGGTGTTTATGGGAAAATGTTATCAAAATAAACAGGCTGATCGTCTGCCTGCGTACCAACCAAAATTATTTCCATTATTCTGCCAATTTCTGCAATAGCATGCAGGTGTGTAACTAACTGGAAGCAATAGCAGAGGCTTAGGTGTGTATATATTCATATAAGATATATGATATCACAAGAAAAATAAAAGAAAGCATCATTACTGTGCTGAAACACCCAACTTTCATGCAAAATTGTGTGTTCTTGCCAGATGAGAGCTCTTTATTTTTCTTTACCTCATAATGACAGTATAAAGTTATCCCTCTTCTAATAAGTTTTTACAGTTTTTTCACATTATACTGTCCTAATCCTTTTCTTTATATACATATTTGCAGCTTGCATGTGAACTTTCAACTACAGTGTTGATATAGTGCATGTACCTACCTAGCAACCTTCTCTAAGACAAAGAGTACTTGTGGGGAGGCATTCTAAGTTTTTAACTTCCAAATCAGAAAGTCAAACAGTGCAGCCTGTCTCATCTGCCTATATCAGAAAGTCAAACAGTGCAGCCTGTCTCATCTACCTATATACTATATGTTTTTATATATGTACAAAAGAAAACTTATCTACTGTACACAATGTACAATTAAGCTAGGGCCAAACTAGTCTTCTCTGTCCTAGGATCCCTAGACAGTCTCACAGACGTCTGGCCAGCTACAGCTTTTGATTGGTCAGCTGACCTGAATTCAGCAAGGCTGTCTAGTGATCCCAGGACAGGGAAGAATAGTGTGACCCTAACTTTAGCAAACAGATCAGTCATATCAAAAAGTTTTGTGCCTCTTAACAACATGGATATACTGACATGTGGTGATCCTCATATCTGTACTCTGAATATATGTGATAAAATCAATTTATCTAAATAAGTATGTACTTTGAAACCTTTTGAAAACAAAAATATGATAGTAACTATCTAATATCATATATGAAACTCAATGCCTGATATTTTGGTCTTACTCTAGAGTTGAACTTTAAAATTTTTAAAATCATACACAGTTAGGATTCCAGAAGACATATTGGTACTTTTACAAATCATGATTAAAAATATGAAACTATAGTCATGTTGTTAAACAAAATCCACACATAGTAAAAATATTCCAAAGAAAGTTTTATTCAGTTCATATCATAGTATAACCTCCAAGCCAAATTAACAGATTTCTCTTGTATAGTGATAACCAGTAAGGCCTTCCTCAGGAGCAAAGTCATCATCTAGACTTGTGAGCATAGTATCCGAAAACATATGGGTGACCCATATATTTAGTATTTACTGTAGACTCCTTAACCCATATATGCCAGGCTAGATCATGTACCAAGTGCTAGGTGTTGGTATTCAACCAACAGAAGATATTTCCTATTTCTTTAAACATCTATCACTGTGTCAAGAAAGTAATGCTAGGGCTGTGAGGGAGGGCAGAGTGCAGTAATTGTGGGGAGTTAAGAGGGATTGGGCAATTGCGTGGGGGTGAAGGGGAGCTGTCTAAGGCAGGGGGTGGGAGAAGGAAGGCAGTTTGTGGTGTCATGTTATTGGCAAATCGGGGTCACTTGAATTGGCTGGATGATGTAAATTAACTTGACTGGGCATTAGTTTTAAGACTTAGATTCACATGATTGGCAAAATTTGTCTATAAAAAGTAGGCTACCTCCTTTTTTTCCTCACTATAAGCCAAACATCAGTCAGGTATTCTCCTGCATATGTTCTCTATGGTTTGCTAAAAATCTTGACAATCCTCTACCATTAATCTTGGGAGGGAGACAGACCTTATATGGCTAAAGGGAGGAGTGTGTGTCCCTTGAGCCATCCCTTCTTGGAAAGAAATGCCTGAGAAACATCAAGTCTCCAATAGAAGAAAATGCCAGAACCTACTTCAATGTTCTGCTTTTGCTACTAACCTGGGGTCAAGGTCTACCATCTGGATCCAGTCAATGTCAAGGGAGACAGCACCCACCCCCTTCTTCTCCTCATACAAAAGAATGGGAGAACATGGCTAAGGAGGAGCTGCAGGCCTACATCAGGGTTTGCCTGTTATTGGGACTTGCAGTCTCACCCTCACATGCAATGCTATTGGTTAATTAGCAGTCTTCTCAATTCCAGAGACCATGTAATAGAACAGGAGTGATGCCTCACAACCTGTGTCCCATCGCTCACATCCTGGGGATGCAGCTCAGGTTTACCTTCCTTCCCAGCCCAAAGATCACCATTAAAGAAAATCTATGGGCATATTGCAGGCAGCATAATGCAGTAGAGTGCAAGAGGCAGCTCTGAATGAGCAGTGGGCAGGCCCTCCTTCCTCTCTGCTCTTTCCTCCTTCATCTTTCAGGGAGGTCCTGATAGCAGCAGCCCTTCTTATATTCTTCAGTCTAGTTAGATATATCTTTCTATGTCTACTTATGTTGAAAAAGAGTGTAAAAAACTTTGTAGAGATAAATAAACTCTCAGAAAAAAGGAACATTCATTCATTTCTGAGCTTGATATTCATTAACTGAACATACTTTGCTCTATTTCAAAGGTATGTCACACTTGTCCCCTTCCAGATATATGAGAATATAATATAATTTGTTTATTTTCAAGAAAACATGTTAATTATTATTACTGTGCATTATTGCCAGTAATATATATATAATACACACACATATATATACATACATAATATATACACATATATACACACACACATTTATATATATATATATATATATATATATATATATATA